ATAGAATAGAATAGAATAGAATAGAATAGAATAGAATAGAATAGAATAGAATAGAATAGAATAGAATAATCCATATTTTGTTCTATCTTCGTCGAATCCAGTTAATAAGTGCTAAGCTGTCGTCTGTTGAATGGTCAACATAATCTGAGCTAGTTATCCTATTATAAACTTATTAAAGATAGTGTGCCAGGAAAACTCAACTGGATATCCTTAAATTACAGCGTCGTCCTAAAGCTTTAAATAAGGTTAAGCGATAAATAAATACGAGGAATTTTCCGTAGCTTTATGGTAGGATCAGCCTTTCAAGTTCTACATCTCACATTTCCTCTCAAAATGGAAGCGAGCTTACCAAGATTTTTACCAGCTCATCCACGCTAAATGCATGCGCTGAATTTGATGCGCATTGTGCATCAACCGGCCTTAGACGTTAGCAATTGTCAATTATAAATGAATTTGTGCACGAGTGTCTGTTTATCTGATAGCCAATATAGCACTCCAATATGCTTATTTCTTATTTATTCCTCTATTCTTCGGTTTAGCTACTCGTCGCCGGCGGAGACCTCGGCAATTCATATCCCCATCGTGCGAACTGCCGTGATTGGCCCGAATTGGTCGGATGCTTTCGAAGTGGTATGAAACTACTATGCTTTATGCTTTTGTTTACCTTATTCTCTCTCTCAGTGAGAGTCCATTTGTCAGAATTGCTGCCAAACATAATTTCTGTGTTCTTTATCCGAAAATCCAGAAAAGAAAAAGCTGATATAGGATCGGAGTCTCGAGTGTGACTCTTTGTTGGCCATAAACTAGAAGACGTCTTCATGAGTCTAGTTTCGACACGACGATGGTGGATGAAAAAATGCGCATATCGAAATCCTATTTATAAAACAAAAATGAGTAATGTAGTCTATTGCTATAGCAAGTACAATTTTACTTCATCAGCAATCCCACCCCAGAAAGTAATATAGGAAAGGCCTAGCTTTTCATGAAATTATATTTTTAAAAATATCTCTTATGAAATTAACTTCGGCCCCATGTGTTGTAATGGTTAACTTGTCACGACAATAAGCTGCACTACCACAACCCGAGTTCGAGCCCCGCGAAAGAAGGGGCTGATGAGACGATGAGGCGAGGTCGAGACAACAGCCCACTCCAGCCCGGATGAGAATACCTTATGAGATGCAAGAAGATGTGAATTTCGCTGAGAGCGTGATGCCTATTCAAATCATTGTTGGAGAATTCATCAACCATCATAGAAGAAGTCCTTCATCACCTTATTCGAAATAGTAAAAAAGCAGATTTCCTATTATATATACTGACAGTCTAGGAAACCTACCTATAAAACGAAAAATACACATTGCACGCTGTAGGTTTCGAGAGTATACGTGGATTGTATGTATGATATGTATTCACCATATTTTGTTTAAGCTGATGCAGGACTTGTTCTGTCCTACCAGAAATGTTGTAATGGCAGGGCAAGAAAGCTGAATTTTTAGAGAACAATGTTGCAGGGATGGGGAATGCGAGGAAACAGGCTATGGATGACAAAGAAGAAGAGACACTAAAAGCAAGAATGGACAGGCTAGGGCTAATTGAGCAATTGGATTAAGTCGGTCCAGGTCAATGTGTCATTTGGCCTCAACTTCCGCCATACCGCTTGCATGCTGCTCGTTGCATTCAACTCTGCCGGCGTTCTGAGAGAAGCAGTGCCTGGTGAGCTGATAAAAGGAAGGCGGCGAGGCTAAGGGACCGGTGGGACGGACTGGGCGAGTGGAAATAGGGCAAGCGCCAAGTGATTGACTGGTGGTAGTTGGGGCGTTGGTTTGACTTTTCACCCGTCAACATGGCGACCAACTTGACGGTAGGCTGTCTGCGCACAGATTGACAAGGGCCGGCTGACCTGCTCGTGCCAGCCAAAGTGGGTTGCTTCATTGCCCCAGAGATGCCTTCTTACGATACAAAACACATCATTGTGGAGGTTAAGAAGGTATCAAAAGATGAGCTTTTGAAAAATGGCTGAGCACCTGTTCCACCCTATTTGCTAGTTAACAGTCTGTCGCTTCACAAAAGATCGTCAGAGGATATAGTAGACTTCGTGAACACCATCTCTGAGGCTTAGTTAAGCTTATTTTCGATGTGAATGTGTGTTTTTCGAGGCTATCACTAATTGCTGACTAATAACTTGGGTCATTCTAGGCCTACTCTTATTGCTGTGGGAAAGATTAGTTTAACATAACTTAAATCACATTAAACTGCCTAAATTGATGAGCTTACTTCCATTTCGAGTGGAAGTGTTGGGTGAAGAGATTCGAAGGTCGGTTCCACCAGAAGACGA